CCAAACCCGTCATGCCCTCTCAGTGCAAGGGTACTAAAAAAATCATAATTTCAATCGGCTTCAAACAACAAAGATAACGAAAGAAAGAAAGAAGCAGAGAGGACGCAACAAGATGAGCTATAGAGTGGGAGGGAGAGGGAGGGAATGAGAAGAGCAGCCAAGAACACGCATCGGCACCTGCATAGCGCGCACTCTTTTACACCTATGCAGCCAGACCCCAAACGCAGCAGCAGAGCCAGTGGCAGTGGCAGTGGCAGCGCAGCAGCAGCCAAAAGAAATAAAGCAAAAATGTATGGTATAAAAAAAAAAGTAAAGAAAAAAAACCGAAAAGCTGAGCGCAGAAATCAAGAGCCGCACTCAAAACGAACTCAAGCCTCAGTCGCAGTCGCAGTCGAGCGCGTGCGCGCATCGAAAGAGAGACCAGCAGCAGAGCAGAGCAGCGCCAGCAGCAGCAAACAAAAAAAAAAAACTTAAAAGCAGAAGAAATCAAAGCCAAAAGCTGTTTGAAAAAAAAAAAACAACAAAAAAATAAGCCAAAGAGAAGCCAACACATGCAACCAGACGGACAGAGGGAGAGGCCGAGAGCCAGGGCCCAGAGCCCAGAGCGAGATGGAGCGAACTTAAGCTCAATTCAATGGCGTTTTGGTGCGAGCGAGTGAGCGTTTGCCTTAACTGATTACAACAACAGCAGTGGCAGGGGCGCTGGAGTAGAGAGAGGGTCGGGCCGGCCGGGCGCACCAGCTAGAAGTAGTAGAAAAACCTAAAGAGAGCGGGAGGTGGTGGGGGGGGGGGGTGGGCGGTCGGTCGGTCTCAGCAAATTTGTTGCGATGCTGCGTCGTCGTTGGCGTCGTTGACGCTTCGTCTTCGTTCGATGAATGATGTTGGGGCTCCACACTGCTTCTGCTACCTGCGCAGCGACAGCGACGACACACACACATGTCGTGTCGTCGCGTCGCTCGCCCCTCGTGTGTGTTGTCCATTGACGATGTCGTTGTCGTCGTCGTCGTCTGCTGCTCGCCAATCAAATGGGGCGGGGCCTAAATGGGTATTTCTTTTTTTTCTGCCTTTTTTCTTCCTCCTCTTCTTCTTTTTTCTGTTTCTTTTTCTCCTCAATTGGTGTTGGTGTCTGTCGTGGCGGCGCTGCCTTTGTGAGTGTGTGTGTGTTAGCAAGTGTACCTGTATGTGTGTGTGTCGTGCGATTTGGTTTTGGTTTTTATTATGGGAATTATCGGGAATTGAGCGAAACGACTTGCTTGGCCTGTCACACGAATGAGCGCGAGCGACACGAACGTCGCGCGACGTTGGGTGAGTGGAATGGGAGAGAGAGAGAGTGTGAGTGTGGGTGAGAGAGTGGCTGAGTGAGTGAGCTTTTTGCACCATCGACGGCTAACGGTTAGCACGATCTGAGGGGATTTAACTCTTCAGAATCTGTGATATCGGCGGCATAGTCTTTGAACTTTGGAGAATTTAGCAATTTCTTAACCCTCAAATAACATTCAATGAACGATGATATTCCAGGGTTGATACAATAAGTACATAAATACGACCAATAATCAAATTTTATCTTGGGGAGCTGAATATAAATACACAATGTGCATGTCTACAAATATACTACCCTGTACAATATCAAAGACAATATAAACAATAAGATAAGTAATGCCCATACATTTCAAAGATACAGGGTTTTTGTAAAGAATTTTTAATTTAAGAATTCTTCCCCTCCTTAACTTTATTAAACAAATTTAAGGCTCAACAAATTTGGGCAAACCGTTTTCGGGACTAAAATCAGTGTTTTGCATATTGTATTATATTTTTAGATAAACGACCTGTCGTTTAATGGTTTATTATCGTTTAATCGTTTTCAAAAAATCGAACATCATCATCGAAAGACATTTCAAAATATATCATATCAATATTACGAGACAAGAAAATATTCCAAACAATCAGGAATTGAAAAAACTTAAGGCCCAATCAGTTATGTGCTTCTATGTGGCTGGTGGATTTTCCACTCAACTCATGTTCGAAAGAGTGGCTCTCTTTCGAACTTGTTTCGGCTGCGACCCCTGTGACCGCTTGCAAATGCAATTCGAACTCAAACTCAAAAGGTTCTGTGGCGCGCTCTAGTGAGAGAGAAAGAGAGCGCTCTCCAGTTTTTGAGTGAGGTTTGGCCTTTAATGTTGTTTTTTTTTTTTGAGTGGTATTCGTCGGTGAGTGATTCGTCCGCAATCTTATCAGACACTTGTTCGAGGGAGTGTGGACCCGTATCCGTCCATCCATCCATCCATCCAGCTATCCATCCCATCGATTGTCAATCACATGTGCACAACTGAGAGGGAATGAAAGCTCTGCCGCTGCCCCCCAAATGGTTGGCTGAGAAAAAATGTAATAGCAGAGCGGAGGAGCAGCACAGCAGCAGAGCAGAGCAGCAAAGCCAGCGCTAGCGCCAAGAGCCGAGCATCGTGTTCTGTCTTCGTGTGGGTGGCTGCCCTTGCTCTCGGCTCCACGATGCGGGCACCGTCGCTCCTCTTGCAAAAACTGCAGCTCCGACTGCGAATAGGTGTAAGCTTCACCACCAGCCCCTCACCGCAATCCACTTATTGTTACTTCGCGGGCATGCAGGGTAGGGGAGGTAGATGCATAGGGTTAAGGTTGCATTTGGCCTTTGCTTTTAGCTTCGGCTGTGGGAGAGTATTTCTACTCCATCCATTGGAAATCGAAGGAGCAGAATTTTGGATTTAAAAGTATTATAAATAAATACGTATTACCTATTCTCTATTAGTATTAAAAAAGATCAAATCTTCGATCGAAATAGAGGTAGTAAAATGAAAAATGAATTTTTAATTACAAGAATCTCCTGTTCAAAAACTGGAATAAAAGTAATATAGTAATAATAGTTATAGTGGGGGATATATCAGGCATTTCTGGGAGCATGGAAAAAAGTTACAAAGAGCAATTATAAGATAACAGATATAGGGTATATGGAGCTCTCCGATCTATTTTCTCTAAAGAATTAGCTTAGAAATGGCTATGCGTGGATGAAACATTTTCTTATGGATGAAAAATGTAACTACTTTATTTAAAATATTATATATGAATGATTATGAAATCGATGATGGGAATTATAGAATCATATGATTCAAATGAAGAATAAATATATCTTATATCGGATATCTACCTAAAACAGAGCATTGTTTTTGTTGTTATTTGTGGAAAATTTTGCAGGAAAATAACAAGAAATGATATATCCCAAATTTCTGAACTAAATTATAAATACAAACCAAATATATAACTAAAAATACTTGCACATGGAATTCCAATTTCAGCTTCAGTTCCAAATTTAATCAAGATAATGGGAACCCGCAAAGATTCCTAATACAATTTTTTATTGACACCAAAAAGGTAAAGGAAAATACTGCAAGGTTTAGTTACATTTCTCGGGCTTAAGTCCAACAGAACTCCACAGCTTCCATTCCTTTGTCCTCCGACTCGTCGTTCCGCCATCGAGAAAATATCCGAGGAAATCCCAGACGCAATAATAATATCCCCCTCCACCCACAACACCCTCACCACAAACAGTACAAAAAAATACATAACGGTAATTCATAAGCAAAAACAAAAACAAAACGAAAAACAGTAAAAAGAAATCACTCACGAAAGTCAGCCACAAATCTCTTGCTCTCTCGCTTACACTCACTCACTCACTCAGAGAGAGCGCTCTCTCTCTCTCTCTGTCTCTCCGTTGCACTCAATCTGCGGCTCAATAAACAAGAACTACCAAAGAGGGCGGCGGTGGGAGTGGGAGGGAGCAAGTCCCTATAAGTTTTTCCCAATAAGAAAAAAGGCATTGCTCCACCAGCAGCAGCGACGGCGACAGAGGCCTGGCTGGGCTACAAATTGAATGCCAGAGCAGGGAGCAGAGGCGTCGCTGCTGCTGCTGCTGCTGCTGCCGCCACACATGCAAGAAGGGCTCGCTCCCCCTCACCGAGAGCGAGCGAGAGGAGAGTAGCGCCAAGAACGGGTCTTTTTGAATGAATTTCAATACATGCAGCTGACAGCAGTTATCAGTGGCAGTGGCAGCCAGCAGTGGCAGCGTGGCAGCGCAGCGCGGTGGGGCAGACAGCGACGGCGCAGAAAAATGCTCCAACAACAACAGCAACAAGCAGCAGCAGCAGCAGTCAGCAACACAGAAATCAAAAACCTATTGAAAGAAAAATCAAAAGCAGCAGGCAGCCAGCCAGCCAGCCCAGAAACTCATTGAGTGACTCTCGCTCTGGCTCTCTCTCTCTCTCATTCTCTATCTCTCTTGAGTGGAACCAGAGTCTGCCTCTGCCTCAGTGTCAGTGTGTGTGTGTGCGAGCTGCGACGCAGCGCCATGCCGCCGTTCGTTTGCCGTTCGAGGGTTGTCGCTGCTTCGTTGATTCTTTCCGTTTCATTCTTTCCGTGGTCGTCGCCTGCGCCGTGCGTGTGTGACTGAGACTGAGACCCCGTTGAGAAAAAAACGGAACGGAGACCCGTAGACCGTGGACCGTAGAGTTGTCGAGTTGTGTCGTACTACGCTCCACACAACCAGCAACAACAAATATTAAAAGAAAAGGCCGCCTCGCCCCCCCAACCATTCGCTCTATGCGTCAGTGTGTGTGCGTGTGTCCAAGGTGTGTGTGTGTGCGTGTGTGTGTTTTGGTCTCCGGTTGCACGGCACACACGGTATAAACAACAACAAAACGAAAACAAAAGAGAACGAAAACCCGGAACCGGACCCCAAAAAGGAGGATAGATCCCCCAAAACAACATCAACACAATTGGAAACCCTCCAAAAAAAAGATACGAAAATCTGTTATTTTTTTCAAGTGATTTTTCTGTTTTCTGTTCAACAAAAAAAAATCAGAAGAATGTGCGCGTGTATTAGTGTCGAGTATAAGCAACAACGACAACAACAGCAACAACCTGAAACATGTGCAAAATAATCAACAACAGCAACACGATCCACAACAACAACAACAACAGCAACACCAACAAACACCATCCACAACAACAGCCGCTTTTGGGTGTCTAGGATCAGCAACAACAAACAACAACAACAACCAACAGCCATGGCCTAAACTCAATAATCAACAACAAAACCCAATCATCAATCAACAATCAACAATCTTCCCCCCTAACACATTCACTCACTCACTCTCTCACACTCTCTTCTTGCAACAAAAAGCTCTTCCTCTCACAACAAAAAATTGCATTTTCTATGGAAATTGTTGGAAAATAATCAAAATCAACAACAACAACAGTTATTGAGCAACACAAATAAGAGAGGAAAAATCAAAAATAAAAAAGCTTTGGGTTTTTTCAAATGTATTTTATGAATTTTTTTGGGCACGTAAAAAGTAATTACAACAATACACCGACAAAAACAACAACAAATCAGGTGTCAAATGTGATGTGTGACTAAAACTTAATCAAAACTAACTCACTAACAAAACAAAGAAACAAAAAAACAAAACTGAAAAAACCAAGTGGAAAAAGTGGGAAAACAATTTGCGGCATTTAAATGCCAGGCCTTAGCCACAGATTTATTGGCAATACCAACACCAAAAACAACAACTGCAACACTTGCAACAACAACAACAAAAATTGACAATCGAATTTTTGGAGGAAAGCCCACGAATGCAGCCAACATTGCCACAAGCCGCTGGGACAGCCGATATGGATCTGACGGCTGTTCAATCAATCAACGATTGGTTTTTCAAAAAGGAGCAAATTTATTTATTGGCACAATTTTGGCAACAGGTAAGAAGAAACCACCAAACAAATCCCATCCAAAAAAAAAGTGCTTGTCCATGCCGAAGAAATTATGCAAAAATTAGGAAAAAGTGTCGTCGTTTTCCAAGATCTAACATCAAATCTCCGAAGAAATATTTTTTTATTGGGGCTATCTTGTGATAGGAGGTTTATCCAAATGATATCAAGCAATTCTGTAGTTGTGGGCCCCCCAAAAATAGTTCTTAATGAGCAATGAAATGTTATGTGTTTGGTAGATTTTTGTTGCAACAGAAGCCCTGACGCACAGCATTTAATTAACCGAAGTCTAACCATATCCATAGAGTCAAGCTACAAAAGTTCTCCTTAGTGAAATGATATCCAAAGTGTCAACAAGTTCTCCTGAGTGAAATGAGATTCCCCAAAAAAGCCATCAATGAAATCTGAAGAATGCTTCCATGTTTACGAATATCATTTTTTCTTTTGTTTTTGCTTCTTATTTTGGGAATTATTTTTGGGTGGAAAAATACACCAAATTAAACCCAAAACAAAAGGAATAATATGTCGCCAAATGTGTTCGATTGGTACAAAAAAAAAAGTATCTTTCAGCGAAAGCTGCTAACCTCAAGTAATGGATGCCATGGAAATTTCACCCATCAACAAATTATTGGAATTATATTTAGGGGGTTCAACTAGCCATGAAATTATTTAAAAGAAAACTCTGCTGCAAGATGCAAAATGTGTGGCAAGGTTCTCCCACAACCAGGCCTCCAGAGTGTGGGAGCCAGAGAGGGGCCTTAAGTTAACTTTTTTCACTAATTGAGTTTGCGTGTCTGTGGCAAATGTAAGTTTTATTGTGGCTAGCATTTGTTGCCTGCCTCTAATTTGTGTTGTAAATTTATTTATTTGCTGTTCCCTCGATTATTGATTTCTGTGTAAAAAATGAAATGCAAAATGCAACAAGCAAATAATTTAGTGAACAATTTATTGCATGAATAACTTCCTTTTTTTGTTTTTTGTTGTTGTTTTGTTTTGCTTTGTTTTTGAAGCAGACAAGATCGTCAGGCAGACAAACGGATACCCTCTAGGGAGGGGATTCCGGATTGTGAATAGTGGGGCGGGGGCGCGGGGTGGAGGATGCCCAGACGATGTTGAAAAATTCGCTGGCTTCATGCCAATGTCTGAACAAATAAGGCCCTGCCCCTTCAGGACCAGACATATGAATATTTCCCTTTGGATATACGAATATAGAATGAATATTCCTTAGATATACGAATGAATATTCTCTCGCTGCTGTGGCAAGTTAATTATGTTTTGAGGGGCACTTTTTAATTGGAAGAGAGAACTCCATCTCCACCCGATTGATCCTCCAAAAAAAAGTGAAAAGTGAGGGATTTCCCGTGAAAAATAATAATCTAGTGGGGGATTTTGCCGTCGGCAAATGCAAATATTTGTGTACACGATGAGTGGCATGTTGCAAACAGAAAAAAGCCCCCAAAACCATTGTCAGAACTCGTTAGTAAGAACTCCCTCCTCCAATCGTTCAATCTCCGCTTCTCTAACGATCTTTTGATGATCGATTGCCGCTCTATGAATCAATATTTGGGGCCTAAACAAAATTAGAACTCGATCCCCACATCCCACCACACACACACAAAAAAAAAAGGTAATTTGCTAATCCAAAAATAGAAGTTTTATTAAGTAAATTAAAGACAAATAGAAACAGAAAAGAATATTTGCTCCCCTCCATTCGACAGCTGTCCAAAGACATTCTTTTTTTTTTTTCTCTCTTTTTTTCTGTCGTGTTTTTGTGTGTGTGGTATTTGTGGGTATTTATTTATTTACATTTTGTCTGCAAAATTGACACAAATCGAAATCGAAAAAATGTGCTCGCATTGGCATTTAATATTTTTCGGATTTCGAATGTGGGGCAGCCCCAAAATAAAAAAGAAGCACAGAAATTAATTTCCGTAATGCAATCTATAAACTTGACCCAAAGACCCGAAAGACAGAAAAACGGAACGATGGAGGGTTCTACAATTACCAGCAAAAAAAAGAAAAGAAAAAAAAACAGAATTGCAGACTGAAAATTTGTCATTGATTTGTGCTGTGATCCGCAAACTGGAAAACGCGGGGAAAAACAGAAAAACTAATTGCCAAATGCAAACGAAACAGAAACCGAAACCAAACCATATACAAAAAAAAAGAAATATAAAAAATTATATATGATGATAGAAATTCAAGTTTTTTGGGTTCCGTTTTAATCAAATTTGAAACCGGTTCAGGGTTTAGCCACCACCACACCACACCACACAGCACACACACACACCATCCATATCCGAGAGATACAGATACAAACAGGAGGCGCCGCATTGATGATAGTTTATAAAAAGTTTTTAATTTTCAAAGATGGCCGATGGATGTGCAGGATGGCATTTGCATATGCCGAAAAAATCGAATCGAAATGAGCATCAGCCATGGCCAACCCTTGGGATGTCCACGCGGGCTTAAGCCGTTAGATACACACGGTTACAGATACACAGATACAGTAGATACGTAGATACAGATCGCTGCGTGTGTCGTGTATAATTTTTAGCGTTTTAAGTGCAATTTACCCCCGTTCTCGTTCTGTGTTTCGTGCTGTGAGAGAGCAAGCTAATGAGTCAGAGAACCCCCGAGTAGGAATCATTCAACCACCACGTCCACCCACACACACAGAAAATATACAAGATACAAACACAAAATATATACATACATTATTTGTGAGTTCTGTTCAATCGTTCGATCGCTGGAAAGATATGTTAATATAATTAAATTAATTTGTCAGCGCGGAAATTAAAACACAACGAAAAAAAAAAGACCCAAACAGAAAGACCGCTCACACAAAACACACACAGATGCATGGACACAAATTGTATCTATGGGATGCGACAAGCGATACGAATACGAAATGAAAATCGAACAATTAAAAGCTTGTGGTGGGTGTAGTCTGAACCCCCGAACCCCGAACCACGCTCTGAACCACGCCACAAATAATTCCAAATAAAAAATCATTTGAAAATTATTATTAAAAATTGAGTTCATGAACTGTGGCTCTCTATAGATGTATCTGTATCTGTGTGTGCGTTGATCAATTTTTATATGATGATCATTTGATGTTCTTTCTCTTTCCGGTTTATGGCATTAATTATGAATTTGTTGATGAAGCTAATTGAAGCTCTCACTCTCTTTGTCTCTCTGTCTCGCTCTCTCTCTCTGTGTGCGGCATGTGAAGAAGTGTCCTCACTGGAACTCTGCATTCCGAATGCATTCTCGGGAACTCGAAATTCCAGCCATCAAAACTCTGACCCCAAAAACTGTTGTAAACGCTTTGGCCAGTAATTAGTTAATTTGGCATCAAATTAGTGCCATTCGGAGTGCAACCATCTATGAAATGAGGCCTCTTGTAACTCTGATTTCAATCATTAAAATGGTCCACAAATTTCTTTCCCATTTCATCTATTAGAAAATTATTACATGATGGAATAGACTTATTCATGGAATATGTTTGAGTACCTAAAGAACCAACTATCACCAAATCTTTGTCACATTCAATTGTATACAAAAAATAAGTTAATTTAAATGGATTAGAGCACTTCCGATGCATCCGTTCATTGAAAAACCTCAAGTAACTAAGAAACTGCACAGCTTTTAGTCTCGAAACTTTTTTCAAATTCAATTTTCAATTTTCAATGAAAATCCTCAGCGAACTCAGCTTGGAACCATCCAATAGTCTTTAAACTTCGTGACCATTCAATCTATGCAAATATTAGAATATCGAAGTAGGTTCTAACCATTTCGAGGCTTCCGCTCATTGAAAACCTCACGGAACTCAGCTTTCAACTCTCGGATACTCGTGAAACTTCTCTCACATTCAATCCACACAGTAACGAGCACATTCCGAAAGATTTAGATGAGAAGCTCAAGTCTTCTGGCCATCAAATCAACCTAAAAAGCTTCACACATGCCAATGGCTGGGGATTTGGGGGGAGGAAGAGGCAGCCGAGACGGGGAGACACGACACTAATTGAGCATAAATATCATAAATATCATAAATGCTAAATGCGCGGTGTATTGCGTGGTGTGCATCAATTGTCATTGCATCATTAATTCCGCATCTAGACGAACCACCATTCATTCCCCGTTCCATGTTCCACAAAGGCATCGCATCTCTCTGGATGGAGATGCCAAAAAACCCAAAAGGAGGAAACGAAGAAAAGATTCGACGGCTTTTGTGTACAACTTAATAACAACTAATTGTCTTTTTATATGCATATACGCGAGTGCGAGTACACAGCACATACACATACGAGATACGATACGATACGATATAGGAGCTCTCTAAACCGAAAAGATCGAGCCAGAAAGAGCAAAGGAAAGGTAGGGGAAGGGAAGGGAGGATAGGATGGATGGGATGGGATGGATGGCAAACCTGTCTTGAAAATCTCTTTTGTTTTTTCTGTGTGTTGCTGCTGATGCTGCTGTTGCTGCTGCTGCTGCTGCTGCTGCCGCTGCTGTCTTTCATCTTTCAGTTGTCAGTAATTTGTGCAGCTCAATATATCAGTCGATATCTTATGAGTTTTTAATTTCAGGTTTCTCGTACTCTGGCGATCTATGTGTCTCTGTTGCTGTTGCTGTCTCTGTATCTGTCTCTGCCTCCAGTCTCTCCATCAATTTGATTTCCTACAACGGAGCACAGAGAGTTTTTCTTTGCTTGAAAAGGACAAATCGTTAAGAGAACCTGATGTTGGAGGATATTGAATAAAATATCATTTTGTGCACGCCCCTTTTTCGAGAACTTGACTCTGAAATGTCGGATGGGAGATGGGGCATGAGGCATGGGCATCGGGCATGGGGCATGATGATGATGAGTTTTGAAGTTGCTGTTTCGTTTGGGGTTGGGTTCCTTCTTCTTGTATTGGCAACATTTTGTGCTGTGATCGATACGGTTGAATGCAAAAAAACAAAACAAATACAAAAAAAGGAACGAG